AACAAGAAACGCAAGTTTTATGTGGACCGCAACTGCCACCCACAAGTCATTGCTGTAGTGCAAACAAGAGCACAGTAAGTGTCAAACACATCTTTTCTTCCGTTGATCMATTCATTCAGTAAACTGCTCACAGAGGCATTCTCCTTTCTTTTATTAAGTACATGTATTTGTTTCATCTAATGTTAATTCATTGTTGATCACAGAACACTTGGACCTGACGGGRGTGGAATTGAAGTTATCATTGGGGATAAAAACTCCTTTGATTTTTCTGGTAAAGATGTTTCTGGTGTTCTTTTCCAATACCCTGATACCCATGGACAGATTGATGATTTTTCAAGGCTAGTGGAAAAAGCACATGAAGGAAAGGTGTGTATTGCAGTGAAACAATATAATAAATGATTATACTAGCTAGCTGATGCAGCTTTCTCTCCATTTTCATTCCCACTTTTCTTTCTTCCTTTTTCTCCTGTGTTCACTCAATAAAGACTCATGAATATAAGGACACCTAAAAAAATTATTTTAAAGTATCTATAAGACGTAATTAATACAAGCTTTTCATTTTCAATCTTTTTCTTTTTGATACCCTGTGTGAATTCAACGTGCAACCTCTTGATTCATAGCCATGCAAATATTTCMATTGAGCCACTATATTCCTCAGGGTCCACATTATATCATCACCTCCATTTTGAATGAAGATAACAATAATTATCATATGGTTTTGCTTGTTCAGTCATCCAACATGGCAGCAATTTAGCTTTGTTCTTTGATTCTCAGAGGGATTCTTGATCATGTGGTTGAAACCCTAGAATATGATATGAAAATTGATTTTTGAACAATTCATTCATTTTTGAGTTTTAACAGTTTCATTGATTGAGCAAAAAGTGATGGCTAGAGTTGTAATCAAAGTCTTTTTATTCCAGGCCCTTGCTATCTGTGCCACGGACCTGCTAGCATTAACAATCCTTAGACCACCKGGTGAATTTGACTGTGATATAGCTGTTGGCTCAACTCAGAGATTTGGGGTTTCACTAGGTATGACTCATGAACTTGCAATTTATACTCCATTTTACATCATCAAATTAATCATTCATAAGCAAATACAATTGGCAAATCATTGCCGTGACTACATCTTTATATGAGAAAGAGATTGTCCATTGAGTCGGAAATATAAAATCAGGTCGGAAATATTTCTGCAAGTGTTAAATGACATTCAGTGAATTGATATTTACATGCCTTTAATAATAATGCATGTAAATTATAATAATTAGTTCATATCTAAATGWATGTCTAATCAGTTATAATTATATTATGTAGCTGCTTCCAATCAGAATATTTCTTCTATGTAGGTTATGGAGGTCCTCATGCAGGATTCTTTGCCATCAAAGACAAGGGAAACTTGAAAAGAATGATTCCAGGAAGAATGGTTGGAGTGACCAGGTACACCTTGGTATAATATCAATAATAATATAGCAGACCATATCAAAGCTGCTATTGCAAGGGGAAAGCTGGGGGCTGCAACCCTTTTTTCAAAATCRATATTTTATGATCAAGGTTACCTGCATCTCTGTGCTTACCAATTTTTACAGCAATTTAGATGTAGTCTACCTTCATTTCATTTGTACAGTTGAACATCAATCAAGGCATTTGGTGCCTCATTTATCCTGCTTTGCCGATTATTTCCCAGAGACCCCTGGGAAATCTTGGGCTGTTGCCTTTGGGTTGTTACCAAAAATGTCTTGATTATTTTATGTGTAGAGTCAAAATTCCTATATACCTAAGGTATTAAGAAAATCAAGAACATTTCTTATTCTACATATTGTGTTTATTTCTCAAGGGATGCTCATGGTAATTCATGCTATCGTCTGGCTTTGCAAACAAGAGAACAACACATTAGAAGAGATAAAGCCACAAGTAATATTTGCACAGCACAGGCTCTTTTGGCCAACATGTCGGCCATGTATGCCGTGTACCATGGACCCAAAGGCTTAAAGAACATTGCTCTTAGAGTCCACAATGCTACGTTACTTCTTGCTGAAGGTAAATGATGATGATGATAAAATTGATAACTTTGAAATTATAATCAACTTTGTGATGATGATGATGATGATGATCATTTCTCAGTCAGGAAAAATTAATGTTCATCCATCAAATGACATAACATTCAGTTTAGTTTATATTTATAATAATATATATATATATTTTTTATTTTTTTTATGATGGAATTTAAGACAAAAAGTCAATTATTTTCATTTTAATTTACAAATTAAGGATCTACACACTTAATAATTATAATCTAATAATTATAATTATTGAAGTTATACATTATTAATTAATCCTCTAAGATGAATCTCAAGTGTCACACTTAGTGTGTAGATCCTTAATTTKTAAATGAAAATGAAAATGATATTGACTTTTTGTCTTAAATTCCAATCATCTTRATATGCAGAAGTGCTAAAACTGTACTGAATTAAGTCGACAATTCACACCCTGCACTGTAAATGTAGAATGCTTGACAGTATATTTGCTCAGTATGTTGGTTAATGTAACCCATCATCTGGGAGAATTGTTTGATATTTTATCTTTGATATCAAAGGTATCAAACAAGCTGGTCATCATGTAGAAGAATCACATCCTGTATTTGACACACTCAAGGTATGTTCCTGTTAACAATCTGCTAKAACTCCTGGCTATAAATTTGATGGGCGTAGTTATTGCTGAGTTAGTGATAATAGTGTTATAATATATATTTTGTCTTGTATTGATTGTTGTATAGACTGAGCAGATTTCGTATGACTGTGCAAAAAAACATGGAACTTTCGTGCTGTGACCGTACCATGCCGTTAAAAGTGTTGATGTTTTGTTAAATCTTTATTATTATTTGGAATCCTAGAWGGCGAAGTTCCGTGAACGTGCCCTGCTGTGTTGTGGTCTGTGCCGTTGCACAGTAATACAAAATCTGCTCTATTTCTACATGTAACTTCTWGTAAATAAATGTTCAGTCATAATCTCACTCTGATGTAAAATGATCAATTTGTATTCTTGTTGATGTAAAGGTTCGATACTGAACATTGATTTGTGGGTACTGTTGTAAACAGGCTTATTGTTTTTGTTATGTAGGTCACTGCATCTRCAGGGGATGTAACAGAAATAATCAACAGAGCACAGGA